AAGCTTTCAGGGCTTCCAGAGGGATCTAAATGAGAGCAACATCTGATCACTGCCTCCCAGGTTTGAGTTCTGCAAGTTTCTTATCTAGGGTTTGGGTCTGAACAACAGGACTGTGGGCTCACCCTGTATGGAATTTCAGTAGACTTCTGCTGGACTCAGCCACTATAAACCAGTTGGAAAACTGCTGGTTCAGAGTGACTAAACTGCAGACCCCCTTTGATCTGGGATTCCTGCCCTGATTACTCTGCTGCAGGCTTCAGACTGGAAGAAGACTAGTAGAACTGATGAGACCCTGCTCTGTTCCTGGGGTCAGAGACACACAGCAGCTGCTTGCTTCTGATCACACTCCTCTCTTGGAACTCATCCTAGAGCTCACAACTGCTTCTTACCCTGTAATGTCACCCCTAGGTGCAGGTCCCCTCCTCAGCCCACCCTAAATCTGTGATTTGAACAGGGTATTGATAGAACTGCCCATGAGCACCTGTTCTTTCTTGTACCACGCACAAATTTAAGCCTCTCTGTGCTGGAACTGCAACCTGCTCTTTCCCTCATGCACAGCGTCTCCCTGTGCTAGTGTGCTCTACCCAGTGTGCTCCTAGCAAGACCCCATCCCCAATGTCCACAGACCTCTCTGTTTCTTTATGCTGACCTGGGCTGGAAAAATGACTTTTTGTGTGATTTTTTCATGGATTTCCTGATCACAAGTCAATCTGGTAGACTTTCTAGATCTGTTTGTAAGGGTTTTAGTTTGGTTTTTTTGGAGGGTGGGGTGCTTGTGGTACATCTTCCTGCTTCTCTGCTCTCTTGGCTCCTATTTTCAACAAGATCATTTTTTTTTTTTGGCTAGGCAAGAGGGTTAAGTGACTTGCCCAGGGTCACATAGCTAGTAAGTGTTAATGTGTCTGAGGCCACATTTGAACTCAGGTCCTCCAGGTCTGGTGCTTTATTCACTGCGCCACCTAGCTGCCCCCAATAAGATCATTCTTAACACCTATAAACCAATGGAAAACAATTTCCCTCAACAGAAGGGTGAGGAAAATGAAGAAATAAATCTCTGCCCATCCCCCTAAGGGGGTGGGCGGGAGGTGTAATTTGTGCTCCAAAGACACAAGAGAGAAAGCTGCTAAAATAGTCTTACTAGCTGCTACAAGTCTCCTGACCCCATCTCCCAAGGGATCAGAAGGAAGAATGCCTTAAGTTGCTGCTGGTAAGCATTGTCTCTTCAGCTGTCACTGTCAATCACAACCAGCTCCAGCTCCTCCTCTATCTTCAATTACCAACCAAAGGCTTTCTTTCTCCCATCTGGATAATCATCCCTGTGCTTCTTCTCTCTGCTGCTCCAGGTAACCACCTTTTAACTCCGGATCTCTCAGACTATATGCCAAGGGGATGTTGTTAACACTTTTAAAGGGCTCTTTAAAAGATGAGGGCTATTCATCACTTTCTTTGATCTAATCTCTTCACTGATCTCAAGGCTCTACCAAAGTGACATTCAAAACTGCTCCTTACGGAATCTCGCCATCTCAGAATTGGAAGAGACCTCAGTGGCCCCCGGGTCCAAACCACTCCTGAAAAAGAACCCCTCTACAACATACCTGACCTGGCAGCTCCCTCTGTATTGAGCACTCCTGCCCGTCCCTTCTGGGACACTTTCAGGTGTTAGGGAGTTCTTCTTAACCTCAAGCACAAATGCACTCCTTTATTCCTGGTTCTGCCCTGTAGAGCTGGCAGAACAAGTGCAGTCTCTCTTTCCGATGACAAACCTTCAGATCCTTGAAGAAAACTACCATATTTTCCTGTGCCCTCAAATCTTCTCTTCTCCAGCCCCATTCCCTTCTCATCCCCAATTCCTTCCACTAATCCTCATCCACCGAGCAGCAGATAGCCCAGACATAACAGTTACCATAAGGGGCAGCTAGGTGGCGCAGTGGATAGAGCACCAGCTCTGAAGTCAGGAGGACCTGAGTTCAAATGCGGCCTCAGACCAAACACTTGACACTTACTAGCTGTGTGACCCTGGGCAAGTCACTTAACCCCACCTGCCTAAAAAAAAAAACCCAAACAAACAAAAAACAGTTACCATGAGCTTCCAGTCAGCTATTGCCATCCATGGAGCAGCTGGGAACTACTGCCTGGCCTTAATCCTCAGTGGCCGACAAGCTCCTACCATCTCTTACTCTCCTGATTTCAGCTGAATTCCTGCCTGCCCAAGATTCGATCCCCATTTCCCTACTTTATGTTCACTCAAACCCACCCACGTCAACCCTATCCTTCCCGAGTCCCAGCCGAGGTGTGCCTTCCCCTTCCACTGCACCATTTGGAATCTGGACATCATTAACAAACCTCCTTTCATTTTATACCTCTTCCTCTTGAGTTCCTGTCTTTTAGAACTCACAAAGCCCAGTCTCATACCACACAATACTGCAATCTAGGGCACTCTGGTATTATTACATCCTCTCTCATACCCTGCCCCCAACATACTGGTTCTCAAAGGATTGGACTATTTCTGGTTCCCTACTGTCATTTCCAGACTCTCCCTCTGCCACCGTAACTCAGCAGCTTCTCCTCCTTTGAGGTTCACTCTATCCAAATACATCACTCAATCCAGATCCTAGAGGCAGTCATTTCCTGCTCCCCTGGCCATTTTCCCTACTTTCTCATCAAGTTCATTACATAGCGCCCAGTCTTTCCCTCTACTCAACTCCTGTTCTTATATTTAGAGTTTTCAATATACATGTTGGTGTTACTTCAAACTGCTTAAACTCTTACTTCCTCACTCTCCCATGATCTACACTTCCATTCTGCATCTATCACACATAGGGATAGCCATACCTTTAATCTTACTTTCACCTGCAAATGATTATTCCATTTCTATGACCAAGAATTCTAAAATTCCCTTATGCAATGATACCATTATAGCATTCTGTTTCTCCCTATGCTTCAATCCTATTAGTGCCATCCTTGATCTTACCTATGACCTTCAGCTGCTCCATCTCTGAGGGCCCTCCCAGACCATCACTCTGTTTCAGCTTCCTTTTGTTCCTTTTATAATCTTTATTTAACCGGTACACAACATTACACTGCCTTCTATTCCTGAATCCCTTGTTCCCTTATTCCATTGCTCCTGTCACCTTACAAATCCCTACCCTAGATTATTCTCATCTGCCTCATCCATGCCCACTCACATATGGTTAAATGAAGCTACAGAAAGTCACAGAGCCCTGCAGGCTGGGCCCACTAGAATTTATGCTATCCAATCTCACTGCAGCAAGGCAAGCCTTTTACTCCTATCTAATTGATTTCCTTTTAAAAAAAAAAAAGGCTGCTCAAAATTTATTCATTTCTGTTTAATACAAAGTAAACAGTTACTGAGACTGCTAGAAAGCACAAAGGTGACAAATAGTTTAAAAAGTATGGGTTCTTGATTTCATTTTTTTCTTTTATTTTCCTTCTTTAAAAAAACAAAAATACATCAGAACTTCTTCTAAACTTAAGCAGCCTTCCTAATCAGATTAATCAAAGGTGGGAAAAAGAAGGGGGAAATGGCCTCAGAGCAAAGCTTATATCAGGAGCACAGAGGGTGTTATTGCAGAGAAAGTCCACGGCTGCTTTTACTGGGCCTGCAGACATGCCACTTCCTCAGGCATGGGTGCCACAAGCAATGTGGGAATTTCCTAAGTGTTCTGGGAATTCCATCACAGTTCTCATGAATGGACGACTTGACTTCCCAAAGAAGTATGGATCTAATTTTGGGAGACCAGGACGGTAAAAGTCACTTCTCTGGAGTATGCGGCACTCCTACAGGAGGCGTTATTGGAAGCGACACCCAAATACCTCCAGCAGTGGGCATGGGCTGCTTTACATGACCATCAGGATTGCTTTGCTTCTAATGATGATACAAACCTTAGTGGTGGCTCTGGAGTGGTCTGCCAGACACTGGGCTTCAACCAATAGTCATGGGTGGCTGGGTTCCAGGAGATGGGACACTGGGCCACAGAGCTCATTTAAGTACAGGAGGTCATAGTAAGATACTCCATAGCAATAGAAAATGTAAGAGTTCTTTGGATTTCTCTAACTGACTTTTTCTGGAACTCCTGACAGCAACTCTTCAAACCTTTTCTCTCTGTCCTCATTACCTTCCCCTTCCCACACCTATCTCCTGAGGATTTTGCCTCACACAGTCTAAGAAGAGAAGTGTCACCTTCTCCACATCTCAAAATCCCTTGACATTCTCCATTCTTTTTTCCTTTACTCTAGTGTCTGATGAAGAGGTGTTCTTCTCCTTGCCAAGATTATTCCTATTACATGTACCTATGATCCCATTCCCTCCCATTTCTTTTTGTATATTTTACCCTGAATCATTCCCCTCTCCCTCTCTAATCTTCACTCTCTCCCTCTTGCCTGGACGTTCTCCCCTACTGCCTATGAACATGTCTATATTTTACCCGTGCTGGGGTGGATGATATTCTTTCACTTCTTCCCCCACCTCAGAAATACGCAGCAGACCCCATCCCTAGCATAGAAGCCCCTCATTCTTTTTTCTGAGGCTAGGGATGCACACATGCACTGTGTGCTGGTTTTTAACTCTCATGACACCTCCCACGTCAGTGTTCTTGGAATTCTGATAAGCTTCATCAAAATGCCAAATGACTAATGGGGAAAGGGAAGACAGAGGCACTAGTTGTGAGTCCTATGCTGGCATTCTTGCCAAATATAATTAGCCATAATATAATTGCTCTCCTTGTTCCCTGTAATGAAGTTTCTACTTCGGTGGCGAAGTAGATAAAGAGTGCTGGAAAACCTGAGTTTAAAATCTGGCCTCAGACACTTACTAGCTGTGAGACCCTAGGCAAGTCATTTAACCTCTCTCAGCCTCAGTTTCCTCAACTGTAAAATGGAGATAATAACAACACCCACTTGATACGATTATTTCGAGGATCAGATGAGATAACATATGTAAAACACTACCAGCAGAAAGGAGGAGGAAAGAGGACACTTGCCTGCCAAGCTTGCTTCCGCGCCTGGATCTGTTGCTGTAGCTCTAGCACCTGTTTCCGCCCTTCCAGGACCATTTCAGCCAGTTTGACATTCTCCTTCTCCTGTTCCTGGACCAGTCGCTTCAGGGATGATTGCTGCTGTAAGTAGTAGGGTATCAGCGTACTGCGAACATCATCTTCAGGAATCCCACTGGGGCGCCTAGTCAGGAAATTCAGACACAGCAACATAAACAAAGAGGGTAAAGAGATCTGGAGTGGAGGTGGGGTGGAGAGAGGGGAAGGTATTGCCTTCTCCTAATGACTAATTGCTTCCTGTGTCCAAGCCTAACTTAACTAGGGTTTTGAGGTGTCTTCTATTGCCTTCTACTATCTGTCACTTTTAATAACCCCACAAAAGTCTATTCTACCTGGGGAGACCTGCCGAGTGGCCCCTAGCTTGAACCATTCTAATCAGGAATTCTTTCTACCACCTCTATTAAGCCTACCATCATGTTCTTCCCAACTCTAACAGTCCCTCCTCTTATTTAGGACTAATATGATTTTTCTATTCTTCCTCTCCAAACTCCACCACACTGCCCCCTTCCTACCTGTGGTTCCCTCTGCACCCCGCCCCCCCATTGATATTTGGAGTTGTGGCTAGCTGTATCATATACCCTTGTTTATCAGTCCCTGAGGCACATCCTGTCTCTCATCAAACCTGGAGCTTCTGAGAGCTACATGTTTCCTCCTCCTTCTAGATCTCCCCTGTGGCCTGCATATTGACCTAGAAAACCATATGTTTTATTGTTTTTTTATTTTATCAAGCATTTTCCAAGTCTCTACGCTAGTCTATTTTTGAATTTTGTAAAAACTTTCATTAGTTGCTGCTCAGTGATGTAATCCTAGCCTTAAGATCATCTGAAAAACAAGGTTTTGATGTATATATGGCAGTTTGGATGTGACCCCATAAGTCTAATGGAGATAAATCAGGTGAATGGGGGGGGGGCGCAGCTAGGTGGCACAGTGGATAGAGCACCAGCCTAGATTCAAGAGGACCTGAGTTCAAATCCAGACTCAGATACATAACACTTACTAGCTATGTGACCCTGGGCAAGTCACTTAACTCCCACTGCTCAATCAAAAAAAAAAAAAAAAAAAAGCCCAAAAACAAAACAAAAAAATAGATTGGGTGAATGCAATGGCTAAGCAAGAGGAACCCCCTCTACTGATATACTGGCCTGAAAAGTGTCATCCAGAAAACTGAATTAAAATAAAAAACTTATTAAACAATATTCACAAAACTAAATCAATGTAAAAGAAATTTAAATAAGCTTTCAAGTGATCTTTTTGTAAGTTTATAGCTTTTATACTTCTGAAGTTAATAAAGTTTAAAACTGTATTAAAATTTTTGGGATACCCTGTATGATGAAAATACTTAAATGTTAAACTAAATATTACTTTACCACTCTTATTCTATGGTCTCTGCTCTTTCTACGTCAGTATGTTTCTCACAGAGCAGGGACCACAGCAGCATAACTATCTGTCAAGCACCCATAAAAAAGCTTTATAATGATTATTAATTATAATGATGATTAAGTCCATTTTATCACCCTTTCTTCTGAGTTGCAGCTATTTGGAAGAGAATCCAAACATTCCCTAAAAATGACCACACAAGTGGGTCTTCGGTTCCCTTCCTCTTTTATGCCATCAATTTTTTTTTTTTTTGATGAGGCAATTGGGGTTAAGTGACTTGCCCAGGGTCACACAGCTAGTGAGTATCATGTGTCTGAGGCTGGTCCTCCTGACTCCAGGGCCTGTGCTCTATCCACTGCACCATCTAACTGCCCCATTATCAATTCTTACCATGCTGGCTCCTTTCGGTCCTCAGCCTCCTCCACAATCTTATCAAGGGAATTCAAAACAGCTTCTAGGTTTCCTTCTTCCTTAATTGTGGAAATTTCTTCCTGAGAGTAAAGGAGAAAAGAAGCAAGACAATATAGAAACAATATGGAAGAAACAGACAGAAATCTCCACTGGCGTCATACTGCCTGTCAGACCAAGTCTACAAATTATTGGCATTTAAGGACCTCTATCTGACTAATCTTATCACCTCTTATTTAGCAACACATTCTTTTCACAGTTGCCAGGATAGCTTTTTCCAATATTCTGGGAAGGACATTGATAAATTTCAATACCTCCAGAAGAGGGTGATCATGATGCTAAAAGGACAACAGATCATGCCACATGAGGATCTTTTGAAAGAACTAGGAACTAGCTTGGAGAAGAGAAGACTTAGTGTGGACAAGACAGCTGTCTTCAAGAACAGAAGGTCTCTGGTGTAGAAGAAAGACGATACTGTTTTGCTTATTCCCAAAAGGCAGGACTAGGAACAACAGGTAGAAAATACAGAAAAACAGACAGCATGGAAAAACCACAGTAAGAAGTAGAACTGTCTGCCCGTCGGTTGGGGAATGGCTGAACAAGTTGTGGTATATGAATGTAATGGAATACTACTGTGCTATAAGAAATGATGAGCAGGCAGACTTCAGAAAAACCTGGAAAGACTTGTATGAACTGATGCTGAATGAAGTGAGCTGAACCAGAAGAACATTGTACACAGAAATAGCAACGTTGTGCGTTGACTAACTTTGATAGATTTAGTCCTTCTCAGCAATGCAAGGATCTAAGTCATCTCCAAAAGTCTCACGATGGAAAATGCTAACCACATCCAAAGAAAGAACTATGGAGTTTGAATGCAGATGAAAGCATACTATTTGCTCTTTTTTCTCTGTTTTGTTTTGTTTCCTCTTTCTTGTGGTTCCACTTATTGGTTCTAATTCTTTACAAAATGACTCATGTGAAAATATGTTTAACAGGAATGTATATGTAGAACCTATAACAGACTGCACGCCGTCTTGGGGAAGGAGGTAGGGAGGAAGAGGGAGAAAATTTAAAACTCAAAAGCCTATGGAAGTGATTGTTGAAAACTAAAAATAAACAAATTAATTTAAAAAAAGAAAGAAGGGGAACTCCAAGGCAGACAAGCTGTCCCTAGAGGTACTGAGCTTTCCATTCTTATTAGAGGTCTTTGTGAGAGGCTAGATGAAGAGCTCTCAGGGATGCCAGAAGGTGACTCCTATTGAAGTACAAGTTGGACTGGATGACCTTTAAGGGACCTTGCAATTCTAAGACATTGTGATTCCTCCTCCTCCTCCATTTAAGATGCCCTCCTTTTCCCTCTCTGCCTATTCAAATCCTTTTTGTTGTCATTCAGTTATTTCAGTCATGTCTGACTCTTTGTGACCCCATTTGGGGTTTTCTTGGTAAAGAAACTGGAGTAGAGTTTTCTTGGTAAAGACCATTACAGATGAGGAAACTGAGGCAAACAGGGTTAAGTGATTTGCCCAGGGTCACACAGCTAGTAAGTGTCTGAGGCTGTATTTGAATTCAGGTCCTCCTGACTCCAGATCTGGCACTCTATCCACTGTGCCACCTAGCTGCCCCAACTCTACCCTACTCTATAAACTCCAACAAAAAGCTTTCACTGATTCTAGTTTATGTGGATTTTGTCTAACATTTTTAAATATAGTCCACACCACACATTTTGTTATTTAAACATTTTTTCCTGCCTTAATTATTCTCTATTTAATTGAAGCATAAGTTATTTTAGAAAATATATCATGTTATTTGCTTTTGTATTCCCCATAATACTTAACAGTTAACCAAGGGCTGGAAACACATAAATACCCACTTAACTGAATTACAATGTCATAAGGTATCAATGCTTCCAACCTCCTAGCAATTAATGTTTGGAGTTTTTTCCATACCCACAGACAGGAGAGTATGTTCTGGAACATTTTCGATCCCTCCAGTTCACCATCTCCTGAAGACAGAGACCACCATCTTTCATTTCTTCTGTACCAACCACCAAAAGCAAGGAAGGGCTAGGTATATCACGGTCATTCAGTTACTAATGATATCATCTGACCAGCTGAGAAGGTGATTGGCAATAACTATAGAGGAACTGTTCATAAGATAATAAGACTTAAAAGCTAGAAGAGCCATTAAAGGTCATCCAGTCTAAGCTTCTCATTTTATAGATGCGAAGGTTAAAGCTCAAAGAGGTAAAAGGACTTTCCCAAAGTCACAGAGGTTAATGTGACTCAGTGTCCTTTCTTCTACACCACATGGCCTCAGATGCACCTAACTTCCTCACACAACTAACATATACAGTTATCTACTATACGCAAAGCACTAGGCCTAGTGATCAATAAGATATAGTTCCTAACCTCAAGGGACTTAAAATTTAGTGGCAAAATCAGAAAACCAAGGGAATTAGCTGGGTTTCTTATCTACTTACCCGGATGGATGTCTGCAACTGAGTTATAAACTGGTCATATATTAGTTGTGTCATTTCAGGCTGGAGTTTGTAGAAGCGCTTGTAACACTTGGCAAATCGCTCATAACTAGACAAAGGGATGAGAAAATAGAGTTAAATCACCATTACAAGGCACTTGCTCAGCTGCTGCTTTGATTACCAAACCGGGAAAGATGAACAGCTCTCCATCATGAGTCATCTCCAGGCTGAGGATTCTGGGCAGATGATCCAGGATCTCACTTTTCCTGCTCCCTGCTTTATGCTCATTTTGCTGGGAAGACAGGGAAATTTAAACCTAGCCACCCTGCAGCTCTGGGCAAATGCTAGGATGGGGATTGAGGTTGAAGGAAATTATTTCTCCATACATTTCAATTATCTGTGGCTTTCTTATCACTCCCCCCCCCAAATGAAGTATATTTCTAGCTCTCTTTTCCTTCAGACACAAGGAGTTAATTAAATTAAATGAGCTATCTTTGCTGCTTTCTCTCCCACTTTGTGTTCTCTTTTTCTACTCCACTGACTACTACAAGACAGTACATTTTCATACTACCCCATTTTGATGACTCCAAGGAGCATTAAATTTAGTCAGGAAAAGCACGTTGGGGCTGGGAGTGGGGCAAGGGGCCCACGTGCAACTCTGGAACACAGGTGGCACACAATACTGCCCCCAAAAGAGCCCATGCTGCCAGATGGAACAGGGGCAACCCTTTGCACTGTAACCCTTTTCTAATAAGTGCCTAAATGTCAAACTCCTCACAAACAAACCAATGTTTATGAGATTCACCAAAAGCCAAAACATTCCCTACTCTACAATGGGATATTGAGACAGGGTACATGGGGCTAACCTAGATAAAAGGCATAATAGCACAACACTGGGGGGGACAACACTGCTATGTATTTCTCACTCTGTTCCCTCTCTACTTCTCAAATGATCTCTAATCCCCTATCTCAAATCCACAGGGAGGTATAAGAAGTGAGAATGACAAGATCAGCTATCTTCTGAAACCCACTGGAATGAGTGTGTTATAAGTAGGAATTATGACACCTAGTTTAAGTCCTGGCACTCCTACTACCTTGCTGTGTGATCTTGAGCAAGTCATTTTCTTTGGATGTCAGTTTCCTGATCTGTAAAATAAAGGGTTGGGACAAGATGATCTCTAAGATTCTATCTAAGAATTATCTAAGATTAGATCTATACTGCTTCCCCTGAGGGGCTTGCTCATGGCTTAAACTAAAAAAAGAACAATATACAGGATATGGGTCACGAAACTCCCACTTTCTGGCTAGAGAAGTAGTATCCTGTTGACCCAAGCAAAGGCCCAAACAACCAAGACAACCAAATTGCTGTTTGCATCTGGTCCCACTAGAAACGAAGTCTGTGGCTGCAGAGGATTGGAAAGAAGAAGATGAGGATACCTCTTCCTGGGTAATTGTGGGCTGAAGTCTGGTTTAGCTTTTGGAGAAGGGTCAATTTCTGTTCCTCCTAGTCCTTTCTCAGGACTAGCAAGCGGACAGCTTGAGATTCAAATTGTGTTTTCTTCTCAGGTAGCTGAAGGAGAGGAGAGAGTACGTGTGTGTGTGTGTGTGTGATATAAATGTGCATTTATAAACACACATGTGTATCTACAATATGTGCATACATGCATGTATGGATGAGCACACACACATGCATGTATACAGAACGTGACCAGAGAATGGCAAACAGTATAGATAAATACTCTTCCTATCTCCCCAGCCCTCAGGGTTAAGACTGTCAGTACTGCTGTGGAGGAATGAACTTCAATAGGGGAGACACACAAATTCGGAAAACAAATGTAAATGGATATGAAAAGCAAGCAATTCCTTAAATGGCAACAGAGAATGGGAAAAAATTTGAAGTTCCATTTTGGATTCTTTGAACAGGCAGACAGAGGGAAATAATACATTTTGGAAAAATCTCCTGAGGTTCCTTATTTCCCTCAAGAACATTCTATCTACTGGAGTGTAAATTCCTTACTGTAAGAACTATGTTTTAAACCTCTTTGCTATATCCAGTGTCCAGCACAGCACTAGGCATGTAAATAGATTACAGGGGGGCCCATGATTGACATAAGGGTCAAAGGTGAGTTACTAAATGAATTTGAATGGCATGGCCTCAGGGCTGTGGAAAGAGGCTTGTGATTAAATGATGGGAAGAGTTTACTCTGTCACTCTTCTGCCCAGTCATCCCTTCGCATCAGGAGGATACCAGGTACGTCAAGTGCTAGAAGCCTAAAGGTGAGGCTTTAGGCTTTCCCTAATGGTGAACCCAAGTGCATCTCTGCCAAGGCTCATGGCCTAGGCTCTGCCTCCCGTCCCCTACCTCTACAGGGGGCCTGGAATCTTACTGATCCAATGATAGGAAGAAACCAGATTAAGCACTCTGTAAACTGAGCAGCACAAAGAAAAGCTTGACCTAGGCCTTAAAAAAATAAGTTTTTTTAAACCACATTTATTGAGTTAAACAACTATGGCAAAAAAAACCCCAATTTTTAAGCTAAAGTTTTTTTTATTTAATGCATCTAATTCACTATTAAACTAAGGGTTTTTTTTTTTTAGAAGCTTTAAGGAACTCAAAATGTTTTGTTTTTAAAATCAATGTCAATTATTTTAGGCCCATTACTTAAGCTTTTCTTTGTACTTCAGCAGTCCTTATGTGTCAATATGCAGACAGACTGGTTTTGATCTAGATACATTTACTTCCACAAATGTGCTGATGATATAGGGGCTAAAGTATTCAGTTTGCCAGGTGGTGTTAACACCAAGGAGCTTGGCTTCTCCCCCATGTTTTGTTTTTCTACCAAGCGAGCCCAGCAGGGGGGCAGCGAGGGGCTGAGAGAAGAGTGAAGCTCGAGTTCATTTTGCTCCTCATGAACAGCTCTGGTAAAAAAGGCTACAGAAAAAAGGGTGAAAGAGCATTTCATTTGGGGGTCGGGAGAGTCAGGCTGCAGTGCTGGCTCTGTAAATAACTCTCTGTGTGACTGTAGGCAAATTAAGTCACTGCAGCATCCCAATCTCAACTCTAACCTGGATCTAAATAAGATGCCCCACTAGAGAGAATAAAAAGGGAATGAACAATTATCAAGTGTCCACTGTGTGCCACGTTACAAATATTATCTCATTTGATCAACAGCCCTGAGAAGTAGGTGTTATTTTTAGCCCCATTTTACAGATGAGGGAACTGAGACAGAGGTTAAATGACTTGCCTAGTGTCACACAGCCAGGAAGTGTCTGAGGCAGGATTTGTTGAACTTGGGTCTTCCTGACTCCAGGTCCAAAGCTCTGTCCACTGCACCCCTGGCTGCCTACAACACACCTGGAAAAGTGATCAACCTTTGCTAGAAGACTTCTAGTGAGAGGAAATGTACCACCCCCTTGGATGTGCCATTCTGCTTTTTGATAGCTCCCCTTACCAGGAGGTTTGCCCCTGGATCAATCCTCAGTTTGTCTCTCTGATAGCACCTACTTCACAGGGTTGTTCTATCAAAGAGATAATATATGCAAGATGCTCTGTAAATGCTATATAAATGTTGACTATGGGGCAGCTATGCGGCATGGTGGATAGAGCACCAGCCCTGAAGTCAGGAGGACCTGAGTTCAAATCCGGCCTCAAACCAAACAGTTGACACTTAGTAGCTGTGTGACCCTGGGCAAGTCACCTAACCCCAATTGCCTTAAAAAAAAATGTTCACTATAAGTATTATTATTCCACTTACCCACTTCTGGTTCTACCCTCTAGGGTCAAACAGAATAAGCCTAATTTCTCTTTCACAGGACAGGTATTTAAATGGTTATTGAATTCTGTGCAAAGCACTAGGGATACAAAACCAAAAATCAAACAGTCCCTGTCCTCGAGGAACTGACATTCTAAAGAGGGGGTACAATGTGCACATAAATAACTATAAGGTAATTTCAGGAGGGAGAGATCACAGACAACTAGAAAAATCAAGGAAGGCTTTGAATAGGAGATGGTACTTGAGCTAAGCCCTGAAGGAAACAAGGTATTCTAAAAGATGTAAGGGAGAATAGAGGCAGGCCCAGAATAAAGCCCGAGGTGGGAAATGAAATATTATGTGTAACGAATAGAGAGTAGGCCAGTTTGGTTAGAACAAAGACTTGATGAGGGGGAAATTACATGGTAAGGCTGAAAAGATAGGTGGGCTGTAGAGAGGCTTTAAGTGCCATGCTGAGAAGTCTTATTTTATTATAGAGGTGACAGGAAGCCTCTGAGAAAGGGAATTCAATGATGAGACCTATTTTTAAGAAAGGCTAATCTAGCAGCTCTCTGGAGAACGGATTGGAGGGGGAGACAATGGAAAAAGGCAATCAATTAGCAGAATATTCCAATAGTGTTAGCAAGGGTTTATGAGAGACAGAACTAAGGTAAGGTCAGTGTGAGAAGAGAGAAGGGGACAGATGGAAGAGATGTAAGAATCAACAGGACTTAGCAACTAATTGAACCTGGGGCTCGAAGGAAAGTCAGAGTCAAGGATGGCTGAGTTTGCAAAGGCGGCTGGCCAGTAGGTTGGTTCAGCTTAGGGTGATTTCAACAGAAACAGGGAAGAGATTAGGAGAAAAGATTGGTTTTGGAGAAAATATATAACGAGTGCTGTTTAGAAATGTTGAGTCTGAGATACCTATGTGATCTCCTAATGGAAGTATCCAGATGGATACGTAAATTTGAGACTTATTTGCAGAGATGATAGTCAAATATATGGGGGCTAATGAGGTCAGAGAGCATAACAGGACCCAGGACAAAGCCTTGGGGGACACCCATGATTAATAGGGTAGAGATGGATGAAGACTCAACTAAGGAGATGAAGAAAGAGTAGTCAGACAGATCAGAGGGAAATGAAGATAGTGTCACAAAAAGCCAAGAGAGGGAAGAATACCCAGGTTGACAGCGATGAAAACTAAAGAGAAGAAGAAAAGAATGCAGATTCAGGAAAGATGACTGGATTTAGCACTTTCCATATCTTTTATATCTTTGAAAAAGGCAGTCTTACATCTCCAGAGGCCTTGTGATGGAAAATGCTATCCACATCCAAAGAAAGAACTATGGAAGTTGAACTGCTATTTTTTTCTTTCTTCTGTTGAGTTTTGCTTCCTCTTTCTGATGGTTCCTCCTATTGGTTTTAATTTTTACTTACAACATCACTAATGTGAAAATATGTTTAATATGAATGTAAATGTATACCCTATATCAGACTGTGCACCATCTTGGGGAGGGTGGTAGGGAGGAAGGGGGAGAAAAATTTTAAACTCAAAAAAAAAAATAATAGAAAAAAAGACTGACCTTATTCTAAATAAAAAAAGTGATTGAAATATGCACAACCAAAATTGCTTTCTTGAAAATTACAAGAGCTTGGTTTTTTTTTGCATTTTTAAACAATTCTCAATAAAGCTGCAATATTAATAATGAAAAAAAAAGACAGTCTTAGTAGTTTCAGTTTGAAAAAAGTAGTTTTATTTTCCAGCTGCAGTTGGAAGCCAGAGAGCAGGAAGGGTTCACTAGAACTGATTAGGAGATAGTATCACCATACTCTGCCCCATTTAGAATGCACACATGGACTACATTCAGTTCTACATTTTAGGAAGGACGAAGATATGCTAGATAATGTCCAAAGAAGAGCAACCAGGAAAGTGAAAGGCCTCAAATTCATGCCATAAACGGTTTGAAATCATTGGAGATGTTTAGTCTAAAGAAGAGTCTCTTGTCAAATGGAGGAGAGATTAGACTTGTTTTCTGTTTGACTCCAAGAGGAGGAGCTAGAAACAGGACAAGGATATTACAAAGGGGCAAATCCAGCCTTGGTGCAAGGAAATATTTCCTAACAGTTACGGCTATCCATAAGTGAAGGGGATTGCCTCAGCTTTGAGGGAGTCACTTTTGTCTCACTGGACATCTTCCAAGGCTGAATGACCATGTCAAGAAATGTTGTAGGAAAGATTCTTGTTCATGTATGCTCTGGAATAGATACCTCCTGAGGTCCCTTTTAAGATTCTATGACTCTATGCTGAAGAGTGAGAAAATGGCGACAAAGAGCATCGACAATCCCTTCTAGGAGTCTGGCTGTTAAGAGAAGAGAATCAGAATGATAGCTTGAGGGGATGAAAGAGTGAAATGGAGGGGTTTGGGGTTTTTTGGGTTTTTTTAAAAGGATTTTTAGATGTGGGGATGTTTTTGGGTGGCAGAAGGGTGAGCAGATAAGGAAAGTTTTTTCTCTATACTTTCTTACCTGTTGACTTCATCAGCTCCACAGCTTCGAATATCTCTATGTAAATGACTCCCACATCTATATCTCCAACTTTCATTTCTCTCCAGGGTCTTGCATCGTAACAGTTCGAACTAAACTCCTTACCTCCACTCCTGACCACCTACGCTGTCACATCTCAGTGACATCCTTAAGTCCTCACCCCACATATCCTTTCAGTTGCCAAAGCTTGTTGTTACTACCTTCACAACATATTTTGCATCCTTCCCCTCCTCTCTACTTATGTCAGCCGCTCTAGTTCAGGCCTTCAAGGCCTCTCTCCTATATTTTTTCAGTAGCCTCCTAATTGGTCTCTGTGCCTCTCCAATCTATCTTTCACACAGCTAGCAAAGTGATTTTCCTAAAGCACAGTTCTATTCATATCACCCCTCCTCAACCCACTTCTGAGACTTCCTATTAACTAAAGTCAAACAGATGCCTCTGGCATTTAAAGTTCTTCATACTCTATCTCCAACTTAACTTCCTTACCTTACCAGGCATTACTCTCTTCCATGCTATCCATGCTCCAGTCATACTGACCTACTTGCTTTTCCTCACTTTCCTCACCCAACACTAGACCTTTGCAATGGCTATCTACAATGCCTGGAATGCTCTCTCCCGACCTCTGCCTCTCAGGATCTAGTTTCCTTCAAGATTTAGCTCAAATGCTGCCTTCTGTAGAAGAGGCTTTTCCTGCTAAGGTAACCTTAGAGCTATGACCCTGGGAGAGTCCCTTCACTCTGTTTTCCTCAGTTTCCTCATCTGTAAAATGAGCTGGAGAAGGAAAAGTCAAACCACTCCAATAGCTCTGCCAAGAAAACCCCAAATGGGGTCAGAGAAGAGTCGGAAACCACTGAACAACAAAAATATTGCATTGCCTATATGTGTGTAATTCCCCTATATGTGTGTATCTCCCCCCTGTATGTGTGTAATCTCCTTAAGGTAGGACCTAATTTTTCCTTTTCTTTGTATCCTTAGCTCTTAGCACAGTGCCTAGCAGAGAGTAAGCATTTAATAAATGCTTGAGTGATGAGCAAAAGAAAGTGAATTATGAGAGCAGTTAGGCTGCCAGAGAAAAGATGGGAATGGGATAAAAAGCCCAAGGAGGCTGCAAACTTCGTAATGGGTAGGGCTGTTTCATTTTTGTCTCTGTATCCCCAGCACTTAACAATATCCTGCACACAGTAGGCGCTTGGTGTATGCTGAACTGAACTGATGGTGGCACTGATTCTGGGTAAATTCGACTGTTGAAGGCTGGGAATCATCTTTGCATCCCCGCTGCCTTGCACGTTTTTGGGGTCTGACCCTGTGACTCTGAGTGTGGAAAGCTCTGAGTGCAAAAACTCCCCAAAGCTCACCGTTAAGCTCTCGACCACTCATCATCCAGAGAACCTGGGCGGGAGAGGTCGCACCGCAGGTACGACTCCCAGGTTGGCCAGGACTTCTGAGTCCGGAGCAGGCGCGCCCTCTGCCGCAGAGGGCGGGTACTTAAGCAGTTGGTGCGGGTTCCCCAAGCGCGGTTACACCCACGTAACGTCTCAGGGCGTCAGCGATTGAACGAATCTTATAAAATTTGGACCCACTGCCCCCTACAGCATTTGAGCCCCGCCACGAAGCAACCACATGGGGGGGCGGGTCTGGCTAAGATGTCGCGAGATTTGCATTTTACCTCCTTCCTCCGCGTAGAGCACTCGCGAGACTTCAGGACGCACCCCCTTCTTACCTCCCGGCAGACACTAGCTTCTGAAGGAAAGTGTCCACCACGGTATCCAGAAGCTTCACTTTTGGGATGTGAGCGGTAGACGACCCCTCTGCGAGGGACGACTCCTCGCCTCCCACCACCTCGCCATTGCTGCTACCGACGTTACTCCCGCTAGCGTTCGCCATGTTGAAGTCGAACCGCCAAAATACAACGGCACCGCCTGCCCCGCCCACCACGAAATCCAATTGGTTGATCCCATCACCTCCCCCCACGATTGGAGGCGATGGAACGCCCATCAGCGGCACCGCGCGATCCGAGGCGATCGGTGCGCAGCTGCAGGGAAGCTGGTGGCGCGGCCCGCGGGGGTGGAAAAAGCCTGCAAACTTTGAATTCCGTTTGGGTACTCCTGTCACGGCCCCGCAAAACAGGCGCATACCAAGACCCAGGGGTTCAAACAATAAAAATTTTTAATCATACGACAAAGATTTCTTACAGTGCAACAGTGAAACCTGTTTGAATAGTCACATTACATTGTCACTCAGTATTAAATGGTCAAAGAGTAGTCTGAGCGTTTCTGCATCTTCTCTTCCGAGCCCCTCGCATCAGGGCCACACGGTTCCCTGCTTCCCTCCTACGAGAGCTTCAGCTCTAACAGATCAATTCAACACAAAAACACTCCAGCCTTCCTCAGTTGTGTTTTTTTTTTCCCTTCTTGGACTAAACCTTCCTACCCTGGAAGGAACAAGCCAGTATTCTTCTGTCTTCCCCCTACCACTGATGGACTCAGGGTCTGGGGCAATACCCAATCCCTAAGCTACAAATAAACATTCGTGAGGGTCTCAGTCCCTTTAACACATTGCCTAATCCCTTAAATGTTAGGAACAGCAGTGTTGGGCAAGGTGAAGTTAAGGGTTCAAGAAAATAGCAAGACACAAGGGGGTTATAGAGAAGCAGAGGAGAGGTGTGTAAGGGAGATGCAGAATTGAAGGGGGTGGAGGGTGCAATCACCTCTACATTCCCACAGTACTTCTATTCAGCCAGGATAGAGAAGGATGCCTGAAATCAAAGTCCCGCAGGGCAGAGGCCTGGAACCAAGAAAAATCAGGGTTTTATAGTGATGGTAAAGAGAACGAAGCAATTCTATTTCCATTATGTGGGTCATTCCAAGCCTAAGAATTGTATGTTTCAGAACAGGTGGGTCCTTCAGAGATGGAGAAAAGGACATGAGAAGAAACCCCTCAGCAAAGTAGAAAAGAAGAGGTGTGGATGAGAGACTGACATAAAGACAGATATTAAAGACACAAATATGGATACGGAAACCCAAAGTGATGCAGAGAATTAAGTTCAATATAAATAGACGCTGTTTCCAGGGTACCTGGGTGGTTGGTGGGTGGGGTGTAAAGGACAAGAAATATCAAGTTTGTTGTAAAGCTAGCACCTTTCAATGGAAAGGCACCCTAACCTTTCCTGGATGGGGAGAAGCAAGAGGTCCTACACCAAGGCACCTATTCCAGGAACCAACTCAGTAGCCCCACTGGAAAATCAGTAAGGTTGAATCTAACTCTGATTCACTCTGTGTGAGCTGCAATAGGAGATGAAGTGGTTCAGTTTCCTAGGTTTTTGAAGGGCTTCAACAGGAAATTTTGGCAGTATCATGCTGGTAAAATGGTGATGGCTGTGAATGGAGACAGAGGAAAGATGCATCCTTCCCCATTTTGAGAACCCCTTCTTGGGGAGCTGGGTTTCCACCACCATCACCATACTTCTAGGGATATGCCTGTGCTAACTTCTAGTATCACAGGGTGAGATAAGATTGTCAGCTCAATACCTTATAAAGATTCTTATCCTTCAGCTGAGGTGTTCCATGGGGAATAGATAGCATCTGCTGCCACTAATGGAAGAAATGTATCCATGGCTGGAGATGTCCAGAGCTGAAGATGACCTGTGATGATATGCTTTCTCCTCCTTTGCCTCAGCAAGCTTCCTCTTCTCTTTTCAAACCCTCTACATGATCAATCTCACTTTTCAGGGTGCTACTTTTGGCCTGCTCTTCCCTGTCAGCGTAAGTTATGCAGGCATCATGCCTACTACAGAAAACATTTGGGAGGCTGAGATGGGGAACCAGTGGTCAAAGGTGCCACCAAAGGCCTATTGGGAACTGGACTAAGGAAGATGAAGAGCATAGGGAACCAGGGGTGAGGTAAAAGCTACATATTCCAACTGCTATGGCAGACATGGGGTCTAGCTGCAGGAATAGTGTTCTATCAGGGCTTAAGACAACAAACTGGTTCACAAATTTTTAACAAAACCAAAAAAAAAAAAAAAACCCCATTAATCCATAGAGAATTTCTTCCCATTCCCTCACCCCAAACTATCAACTTCCCCAAAGATAGAGGGAAGAATTATCCAGACAACTAGAGGTTCTCTGCTGCTTGGTGAGACGGGCACTCCCCCAATGGTGAGGGAAAAAATATTACAGTTTTCTTGGCAGCTCCATCCTAAAAAAATTAAGAATCAGCTGGCTTAAGAAAGGGGGCCAGGGCAAGAGGTGACCGTGGTCCCTTGAAGTCTGAAAAAGCAGTCAAAGGGGAAAGAAGAGTGAAAGGCAACCTATGTACAGCCTAAGGATGGTGATGGAGGGAAGCTGAGGAAGGTTCCTTAACTATTCCCTTTTAAAAAAGGGATTGGCTAAGGATTGAAAAGGAAGCCTGGATAAGGGGGGCTCAGTTTGGCCAGAGAATTAAAAACAGGGTGAGCTGGAGATCCAAGCTCAAAGCCTATTCAATTACAGCATTTTGGTGTCCCCCTTCTAGGCAGCCAGCCCAGCAGAGGACTGTGTGCACGGCCAAGGGAGGGTGCTGTCCCCTTTCTCTCTGTCCCTCTCTTCAAGGCATGGCAGGCTCCTCTCCCTACCACCCATTACCAGTGTCTGGAGTCCACAAGTTCTGGCCGAAGGCTGATCTTCTTGAGACTCTCATAACCTATCACTATGACCATAGTGGAGGGTGTGGCTGCAATGATCCTGGCAGAGAGACCCTTCATGAAGCCCCAGGGGCCCTCCTCTGCCAACAGCTGCTTGAAGGTCAAGATGATTGAGTTCTTGCCCTCCACCTATAAAAAACAACATGGTGAAGAATCAGTATATGAATAATAAAATATACATAACTCTTTAAATATGCAGAGGGCTTTACAAAAATTATCTCATCTGATTCTCACAACAGCTTTGTATGATACATAGAACAGGTATTATTATCCCTGTTTTACAGATGAAGAAACTGAGGCTTAAAACAGAGCCAGTAAGTGTCAGAGGCCAGATATGAACCCATGCCTTTTGACTCGAAACCTCGAATTCTATCCACTCCGCCATATCAGTGAAGCTATATTGTTTATTTACTTTTAATGACTCCCCTACCCCCATAACCCAACACTTGTATCAATAATTCTGGCTGGCTGGATCCTCTTTTTTACTTCTGCCCTGAAAAGGGGGAAAGGTATGTTTTACTCCCCACTAAGGATTCCAGAAGACAAGGAACCTCATCTCTTTTATTCTTTCTCTGGATAGCTCCTCAGAAGCACCTCTGTCTTCAGGAGACTCACTCTACGGCTTAGGGTGACCTATAGGAAGACAAACCCCTTCCTTCTCCAGACTTCATTCTCTCTTGAGTCTTCACAGAAGATTTCTCCTTAGCCCCAAACCAGGACTTCCCAACTCGTCTCTACCCAACCCTATCCCTAACTTTAACCTGTGGCATAGTGGAAAAGAGTCAGCAGATACTTAGTCAAGTCTCACTTTTGACACTTGCTGGCTATAGGACCTTGGATGAGTCACTTAACCATTTCTTTTCAGTTGCCTCATCTGAAAAATGGAGGTAACACTTCACTTCATACCTCACCAAGGTTTCAGTGTGGAAAATGCTTTGCAAACCTTAAAGTGCTATGTAAACAAGCCAATATTAACCCTATTCCACATTTCCCTCTTCAGAGAGGCCTTTTCTCTAAGTTGCTCTGATTCTGCTTCCTTCAGTTTTTCCCAAAGATCTTTCAGCTCAATCATCTGCCAGGTTTTCATATCTGACCTATTTCTCCCATCAAACTGGGGACTCCTTAAAGGTAGAAACCTCTAATCCCTAGACCAACTCTCAAGCATCTGGGACAAGGCCCACATCCCCAGGGGAGCTCAGGTGAACTGTGGGGCAGACTGACTGAACCAAAAGAGGTGTGATTAACAGTTGAATGGAAGCCTTTTGGGAGATCCCTAGTGGAGCACCCCAAGGATCTGTGTTTCACCTTGTACTAGGTAACATTTTTATCAATGACTTGGATACAGGAATGGTATGCTCCTCACATTTGCAGATGCCACAAAGCTAAGAGGGACAGCTAACATGTTAGATGACAGAATCAGGATTTAAAAAGGCCTAGATGAGCTAGAATGATAGCTGAATGTAATAAGATGAAGTTTAATAGGGATCAATGTAAAGTCTTATACCTGAGTTTGAAAAATTAACTTCATAAGTAGATTGAGGAAATACAGCTCAGAGAGCAGTTTATTTGCCAAAGACCTGGGGATTTCATTGGAATAAAGGTTTGAGAACCTGTAGCATAACACAACATTCAGAAAAACTTTTGTGACCTTAGTTTGCGTTAAAAGATTCCCTGGTCGCTAGGACTTTAGGATATAATAGTCCTTCTGTCCTTTACCATACTCAAACCATATCAGGATTATTGTGTTCGATTCTAAGCACCGCATTTTAGAGAGGACATCAATCAGCTAGAGAGCAACTTTAGGAGGGAAATGAAGATAATGAAGTGTCTTGAGATTAGACCAAGTGAAGAAATGAAGAAGTAGAAATGTTTAGCCTGAAGAAAAGATTTAGGATGGTCAAGAGGGTTTTCATGGTATTTGAAAAGCTATCATGTCAAACACAGATTATACTTCTGACTGGCCCTACAGGACAAAATTAGAAACATAAAAACTGTAAAACAGGTTTAAGCTTCGTCTAAGAAAAACTTATTAATAATTAGAACTATCCTAATGTAGAATGGCCTGGGAGGTCATGCTCAAGACAGGGTTCAACAATGATAAAGAGACTTCTTACCTGTACCCTGGCTCGGACAATGTCCATCGGGTTGGTGATGACAGAAGCAGTGGCTGCAGCCAGGGGCCCAGAAATGGCTTGGAAGATTATGTGGGGGCAGTCCTTAGGACAGATGTGGGAGAGCTGCTCTGAAGTGGGGGAAAAAGCAAATACATTTAAGACCTGCAAGTGACTCCCCTTTGCTCCTTGCTTCTACTTGTCTAAAGATGACTATCTTGCATGGTTGGCCATCTTTTACCCCAACACCCCCACCTTTTCCTTGTCTTCTTCCATCCCACCCTTTTCAAATGTCATTTCAATCTCACCACCTAATTTGAATGGAAGAGGTCCCCTCTGGGGAAATAGATTCTATAACTTTGCTTACCTATTCTCCTGATAGATGGGGAGTTCTTCCTGATATATCACTCCTATGCTTCTTATTGGGATACCTCCCATTTCCAAATTAAACAGCAAAATCATTGCTCTGAAAAACTAGTGAACCTCCTCAAAGCCCAGGCCAGTGGAAGTTTACTCTTCAAAAGTATTAAGAAAGGAGATGGTGCCACTTACTCAGTACACGTATTCCCAGATCATTAGGAAAGCCTTCTAGTCTAGCCTCCATCTCCCCACATACCCCCACTGTAATAGCAGCTACCTCCTTTCAGCATATACTCCATGGAGCTAAAAATTAAGGGCTCACCACCTACATGGAGTCAGGATTCCCCTCAGTGTTCTCTTCTTTGGACGGAGTTACCATAACTCCTATTACTCCTAGAGAAGGTACCTTCTGCTACCTCTCACCTCCCTCTTCTAGTTTGGGTGGTTTGTTCTTATACTACTTAAGAACGAGACTTGTAAATGAATCACAACTGATAGGGCAAAATTCCTACAATTCAATTCTCCAGTTTCTAGTTCCTTTTCTCCCAAAAGTGCAGTACACGAACCAAAACTCTGGGTGACGGTAGGCCAGCAAGAGCAAACTGCATTGGCAACACTATCTCCTATCTGAATGTCCTATTTCTCTTAAAAAGGCAGAGGACAGAGATTATGCAACTGGCAAAGAATATCAAGCTTGGCAACACCAGCCAAAATGGGCCTGCCTGGACTGGCCCCGAACCTGCAAGCTACAGCACGAACCAGGTCCAGTTTCTCACTTTGGTAGAGAGTGGAGAAAGGAAAGAGGAAACAATGGAAAGAAAGCAGTAGACGGTGGCAAAGATTCCAGCTACCATCCCTTTCACTCATTCAGGAGGATACAAAAATAAGAGACTACTTGTGCTGAAGGAGCATACAATACTCCTTAAAATGAAGTAATCATACCAAAATGATACTTGCTATGAGAGGTATGAAAAAAGTGCTATTAAGAATATAGAGAAATAATTTCTACTTGGGGAAAGGGGAATCAGGAAAGGCTTCATAGAGAAGGCAAAATTTGAAATGGGCCTTGAAGTAAGATTTTGACAAACAGAGATGGGGAAGGGAATTTTAAGTAGAGGGTACTGCACAAATGCACTGAGGTGGGAAAGCACAGAAAATAGTCTAGTTTGGCTAGAGTGTGGGGTTATGTGAAGGGAGTAGCTTTTATTTGCTAAACAATAAGTGCAACTGAAGTTGAAGTAGTGTGCAAGTTGGATTTAAGGGAGGTTGGAAGATGAGTTAGGAGAGTCTAGGGAAAGATAATAAAGTTCTGATGACCCTGGAAATAGGATGGTCGGGACAAGTGTCTGAAACACTGCAGAGGTAGTGATAGGTCTTGACAATTGGAGGCAAAGAAGGGAGAGGAGAGGAAGGAGCCAAAGATGTCTCTGAGAATTCAAGCCTGGATGTTAGAGGAATGGTGGTCCCATACACAGAAATAGATTGGTTGATTACTTAAGTTTTGGACCTGTTCAGTTTAAGAAGTTCGAAGGGCATGCAGATAGAGAGGTCCAGACTGAAGATTTGGAGGCCATCTGATATGTGAGATTTGTCAACCAGACAGAACTGAATGAAACAATTCTGGGATTTTGCAGGAGCTGAGATCATCCAGAGGATGAGCGCAAAGGATTGTTGTTACACAAAGCTCAAGGCACAACTTGCTTGCTGGGCCTTAGCTCTGGAAAACAGAGTGTCTCCTAACATCCTGACAGATTAAATGAAATCACCAAGGAGTAGAAGAGTATAAACAGAAAAGGGACAAGGACAGAATTCTGAGGAGCATTCAAAAATAGAGGGTGGGAAGAAGTCAACAGAAGGGACAAAAGTAACAACTGGAAAATTGGGAGGAAAAACCAGGACAGTGCATGATTACGAAAGCCAAGGGAAAAATAATTTTAAGAAGGTAAGACAATGAATACGGAACACTCTTAGAATCTAAAGAGTTTGCAGGAAGATCAAAAATCATCCTATCTAACTTCCTAAGTAATGTAAGAATCCCTTGTACATTGTCCCTTACTATTATGAGAAATTTGGAAGTGAAAGTAAAGAAGGAAAGAGAAAGGATGATAACTCAAAAGAGTAGCAGTACTGAAATTTTTCTTTTTAGAAGGAATGGGTGGATCAATGTCAAATGCAACAGACAGGTCAAAGAGGAAAACTGAGAAAAGGTAATTGAACCTAATGATTAGAATGTCACTGATGACTTCTGAGAGTTTCAGTAGAGCAAGGGGAGCAGAAGTTTAATTCAAAGAAGTATTTGAAGATATGAGACAAACATAATTGATAGAGCAAGATAATAGAAGATGAATTAGATAAGAGCGCAAAATAAAGGGTTATAGGCTGGAAAAGTACATTTCGTGACCCTGAAAGAGATAAGCATAGAAATCCTGAGGGTATGAGTTAGGGAGGTACAAAGGTTACATTCCACCTCAAATCTAATAACAGGAGCAATGCTAAAGAAAAATACCCACCCTAAGAAGGCATCATAGTATGGTAAAGAGTCCTGGACTTGGAATCAAAGAACCTGAGTTCAAATTCATGCTGTGCCACTTACTACTTGTATGAAATGGGCAAGATAAAACCTCTCTAGGCTTTCTGTTTCTTTCTCTGTAAAAAAAAAAAAAAGTGGGGTTTATAATCTACCCCCAATATTCTTTCCATAGTCAGTTCATGCTTCTTTCCCATTCCAATGTCCCATTCCATTAGCTAATCCTGATTCTGTTACAGAAAGTCATTGGCAACTACAACCATTATTCAGTATTTATACTCTTCCCACTTCACCCTTGCCTACCTGCATAAAAGTGGTAGAAGGGCCACCATAAAGCACTGTTGGGTATGTAGGTGAGTAGAGAAGCCACATAACCTCGGTAGAAGCCCCGTATTCCATCAGCTTGAAGGATCTGCCGAATGATATACTTGGTTTGGCCAAAGGCCACTATGCCCCGGCCCTCTGTACCCCGAAACACCTGGAATCGGCCCATGGTCTCGCCCTTGCGCTGCATCATCAGGTGCTGGGAGACCACATCAATGGGCACTGTTATGCTCTGGGCCACCAGTGAGGCTGAGCTACCAGCCACTAGGGACTTCACAGTGTTGCTCTGGCTGTACTTCGACACAAACCTTCGGGTGAGCTCATAGGTGGTAACATAGCACTGGCCAGAGACCAGGGTGAGTGTGTTGACCAAGAAACCCCGATAGAGGCCTAACACCCCATCTGTCCGCAGAATCTTGACAAAGGCATCAAAGGTTCCTTGATAGAGGCTCTTGCCCTTCTGTATCTGGAGCCGTGTGCGGATGAGGGCGAAGGGGTAGACACTGATTCGGATCATCATTGTCATTGCCAAACCAAAGACATAGAACTTCTTCTTGTCCAGATGTTCCCACTCAATGATTGGGATGTTGCGTTTATCCTCCATTGTGCCTGAATGCCTGGGCAATGCAGGGAGTGGGATGGAATGAGATGAAGAAAAAGAGGAAGAGAAATAGTAGGAAGGGATGAGGTCAGGACTCCTCTGCCCAATGTCTCTACAATTTGAGTTCTGAAGTTGTATCCCCAGGCATCCTAGCTAATGCTTCAGCTTCTAGGAACTCCAGTCAAACATCACTTCAGCCAGACAAACTCTTCCCTGTCCTAGGTTCACCCCTGGCCATTTCTACCCTCTGAGTTTTCACAAAGGCTGTACCTCCCACCACCAAGATGCCTCATACTCTCATGTTTGCCCAGCCCTGTCCCTCCCAAATCATTTAAACACTCTTATCCTTTAAGAAGGTCTCAAATTGTTTTACCAGGCTTCACTTCTAAGTCTGCTCATCAGCTCCTAGATCTAAAGTTCTACATGGATGGATAATCTACACTGTTTCTGCCTGGATTCTGGTAGTATACCCCTGGTTAGGGATTGTATCACTTTCTTCTTAGTCTTCCCAGTAGGGTCCAAAATGAAGCAGATGGGCCACCTGCCAATGAGTGAGGTTTCTAGGGACTAACATCCCTAAAGACATCCATTGGAAAGTACCTGAGCAAGATGGGGAAACACAGAGACCTAAAGCCATTGTTCCTCCCACTGTGGTCATCTTCCAATAGCTAGATGGTACACCTGGCATGATGCTCTCTTTCTCTTAGTCTCTTTTTCCTCATGGGTAGAGTATCTGTTGTCACCACTGAAGCAGCCCACTGCTACTCAGTCCTTCCTCTTTGGTAATTTAAACCCCTCTACTTCCAGTCCTATGTTAGTCTTTCTGATCCTTATATCCTCCTTTCCTCCTCTTCCTCCTTTTGATCCACCCTGCTACTCACTGGTTCTATAAATTTCTTCCTGCTAAAGAGAGAGCTGGGGATGGAGAATCATGGTAGTAAGATATGGAATCTCCTCCCCCCCTCCCCCTCCAAAGTTAGGCCAAAGGGGTCATTGTTCCTTTAATCATTAGAAAACATTCTAAGGAAAGGAAGAAAAGAGCAACTATTTGGGAAGGTTGGTTAGGTTTCCTTAGCTTTGTCAGTCAGACTCTTGCCCTTAAGTCCCCAGTCCTGAAAACCCACTATGCGCTGATCCCTGTCCTAGGTACTTGGATGAAAATCGGGAAGAGAAGATAAGGTCTTTTCAGAACAGCAAGCTCCCAGTTGGATAAGGTAAATAAGATATAACTCTAGGACACAAACATAAGACACAAAAGTAGAGAACAATGCAAATTAATATTTATGTACCTCCCTCCCCACCCCAAAGTTAAAGTAAATTCACCTTATATAATTTCAAACAAAGAAATTATCAAGTACACCACTAATTCACTTTATAAAACCTAAAGTTTTGAACAGGAAGCCTACACTTCCTCACCTCTCACTCTCTTCTTAACTCTACGCTGTGTCTTCAAACTTCATCATTCAAATAAAACTGCTCTCTACAAAGTTACTAATGATCTCTCAATTGCCAAATCCAATGACCATTTTTTCAATCCTCATCCTTTCTGACCTCTTTCTGTAGCCTCTGACTGTTGATCACCCTATTCTCCTAGATACTCTCTTCTCTATAGGTTTTCCCAGAGAAAACCTAGTTCTCTTCTGGTTCCCTTCTGACCTATCAGACTGAATCTTCTTAGTTTCCTTTGCTGGAGCTTCATGCAGGTCTAAATGTGGCTATACCAAAGGGTTCTGTCCTGGACCCTTTTCTCTTCTCACTCTATATATTATTTCACTTAATCTCATCAGCCCCCATGAATTTAATTAGCATATTCTATGCTGATGATTCTCAAACCTACTTATTTGGACCTAACCTTCTCTCCTGACCTTCAGTTGAGCATCACCAATTGCTTATCAGACATCTCAGAACTAGCTGTCCTATAGATACTTTAAACTCAACATGTCCAAAATTGAACTTGTTATCTTTCCAGGAAAACTCTCCACTTCCTTTCAAATTTTCCTATTATTGTTGAGGGCACCTGCATCCTGATAGTGTTCCAAGCTCACATCCTAGGCATCATCTTTGACTCTTCACTATCTCTCACCCCCTGTATCAATTCTGTTATCAAGGCTTACCAATTTCACCTTTGTAACATCTCTCAAATGTACCTCCTTCTCTCTTCTGACACTGCCACCACCGTGGTACAGACCCTTATCTCCTCATACCTAGACCACTGCAATAGCCTGCTGATGGGTCTGCCTGCCACAAACCTTTCCCCTTTCTAGTCTGTCTTCCATTTAGCAGCTAACGCGGTTTTCCTAAAGCACAGGTCTAATCATGTCACCCAGTTTATTCAATAAACTCTAGCAGCTCCCCATTACTTCTAGGATAAAATATAAAATTCTATTTGGCATTCAAAGCCCTTCAGAACCAACTCCACCCCTCCCCAACTTTCCAGTCTTCTAACATCTTACATGCTTCCCATATACTCTTCAATCCAACTACAATGGCCTCCTAATTGTTCCTTGAACAAGATATTCCATCTCTTGCCTCTGGGCACTTTCTCTGGCTATCCTCTATGCCTAGAATTCTCTCCCATCTCATCTTTACCTCCTGGCTTCTTTAGCTTCCTAACCAACTTTGCTGAAACACATCTTTTATAAAGCAAAAGATACTTGTAGAGCAAACTGAGTACATGAGGGTTGAGAGTTTAGTCAATAATTTAAAGGAAATGAATGGTCAGCATTATTCAAGGTTACCCTAGAGAAGGCTTCCTTGGAGGAAGGGGATATAAAACAGTTTGAAAGCAGGAGAGGAGCATGGATTGAGAAAAATAACCTTTCCATTCCTTTCTAAGTGGAGAACAACCTAAACAAAAGTTTGACAGTAGAAGAGTATGAAAAGACAGAAAATAAACTGGCTTGGCTAGAATGGCAAATCACAAGAAATAAAAGTTTGGTGAGACAGAGAAGACTTTGGGATCAGAGCATAACTACTTGAAAATGCTAATATTGAGACAGCAATACTGAGATAGGGATTGGGAAGGGTGAAGGGCACTTTTGTCTTTCCCTACTTCTGCAGAGGATATTCACCCATCTTAGCATAAGTGTCTCATTCTGAGAGTGAAGAGAAGGGGGACATGTTTCTGGACACAGAAATGTGTCAGATACATTTCCAATCTTGGGAGTTAGTATTTTTGATCTGGGGAGTGGAGGTTTCCAGAATAGTTCACTCAATGCCGCGTCAGTTCCTTCCCAAGAACAGGAGGCACGGCTGTGGAAATGTGGCCTTCAGTCCTCCAGGTTTGAGTGAACCTGATGACTACCTAGATGCCCAGGCACTGCTTCAGTTTTCCCTGGAAAAATCAATCTCTTTCTTTGCTTTTCCAACCTGTTTTCTGAGTAGCTGAATATGCTGTTTTCTTAGGACAAATACAACACTGTTTCTGGAAGACAGGTTTCCTGATTTACTCATATAAATCTGATGATATACTGGGCAGGGCAAGAACATGAAGTTAAAGAAGATAAGGAGAATGTGGCTGAGGGTGGGATCAGTTCAAGAGTTTAATTTTAGAAGGGAAGAAACTCTTTATGACAAATCACAGGTCACCAAGCTATCTTCATTTATTAGCCCTTCTCAATGTTCCTATGCTTCCTCTTTAGCTCTCACCTGTACTTGTCTACTTTAAATTCTCTGAAAGAGAAGGGAGCCCTGAGGCTGCTGATTCACATCATTTCTAACAAGACAGGAAGACAGAGGATTATTCCTCAGAAGTGATTCAACACCTTGGAAGAAAGGCTAAGAAGAGAAGCAAGGACACACAGAGTTCCCTCAGTTCCTTCAGGAAGTCATTGCTTCTAATTACATGGATCTGAAATCTCTCTTCCTGCAGTCTATTCCCCATATTTCCTGCCATATTGCTGCCCCCAATACTTTTCCTCCATGAAAACTCCCATCAGAGAGCCATTCTCCTTCAACCTGATCTTCCAAATTCAACCAGCCCAATTATTTTGTTTCTTTCCTAGTCCTTTAATTGTGTGCACGGCTTGATACCTTCTAATTTCTTCACATTGCAGAGAAACACAAAGGTAGGTATCGGAAGGTACGGTTCTGGCCCTGAAGTATACTCTAGGCCAGTGGCAAAGTCAAACCACTAGACTATTTGGTACAAACACCAGTTCTACTCCTCACACTAGACAGAGGTGGGTAAGCAATAGGTTGACAGAGATCTAGGTCCACGAAAAGTATATGCTGTTTCCTAAGCTCCACCAAAGTCTACCAAAAGGATCTGCCTGACTCCATCCTGATTTCATTAGGATTGGACCTATGGTAGACCACGTTTGCCCAGGTCTACAGCTTCAGTCCTTTTGATATCACTGTCTCCCAGGCCGAGTCCCCAGATCTCCTCACCCCACGCCGCAATTTCTCTGCCCTAGTCTCCCCTAGAGACTTGAAACTGGGGAGACTGGGTTGGGGGAATTCGAATCCCTCCCACCCAATTCTACTAGACCAACAACAAAGACGGACTTGGGCATACAAGGGGTTGACTGATTCTATGATGATTTTATTTACCCTTACGAGTTAGCTCCTGGGTCTTTGTTAGACCTTATATAACCACCTTATATAAGCCCTTCTGTGATAAACCATACGTGTAGACTGCCCCTTCGGAAGTTACTTACACCTAAGCCTTCCATGCAGCTCTTACGCGCCCTACCCCCACCCCGCTTCCCAAAACAAACGCCAAGTGACTCCCCCAACTCCACCTTCTCCAACCTCGTACTGACCCGAAAGCCGACCCCCTGCCCAACCACCCGCCCTCAAAACGTCAATATCCGTCCTGAGACTCCAGACTCAAACCACCTCTGCCCCCTTACCCCGAGCGCCCCCAAAGCCCCGCCCCTGCCGCTTGCCCCGCCCCCAGGGACAGCCCGCACTTCCCCCCAATTCTTTCACCGGCAGTCCCGGCTCGTGTACACCCACCGCTTCCTACCTCCTGAGCCCCGGATGGCCCTGTCGACGGTGCCAGCGCTCTGCGGGCCGGGACTCCTAGGCTGTTGCTCCTGCCCTAGCTTCAGCTCTCGGCGATTGGAACCCAGCGGCATCTTCCTCCATATCGGCCCGGCTCCCCACACCGCCGGAGCCGGAAGTGAAGCTGTCATCGACCTCCCCCTCCCACCATCCCTGCTAGAAAGGAGGTGGGGCTGAGCGACAGGTGGCTTGACCAATGGCGTGCTGGAGCCCCTGTTCACGCTAGAAGAGGTGAGTTCGAGGGCGGGTCCCAGAGCGGTGATGATGGACAGATTCGGAGGCCATCTTAGGAGCGGGCATATGCCACGCCCCCTTCCGCTTCAGCCAGCTCCAAGCCGCTTTTTTCTTGTTTCATTTTGCTCATTTCCAATTCATGGAAGTCGAGTCACGAGACGCTTCTTAAAAAGCGACTTGCGCATGGGTCACCTTGTGCCTGGAGAACAATTGCAGGTTCGAATCCTACTTCCTTTAAGTTGTTTCTGTGGGGTTTTTGCCAATTAATTTAAAATAATAATTATTGACACTCTTAAATGTAAATTGATAGTTGATTCCTGTTCTCTGCTCAGTAGTCACAGAAAGCAAAGGGCAGGTAGCAGAAGAGATAATGAGGTCCTTACAACAAGGAAGGGAAAGGGAGGTATTACAGGTACCCATTTTACAGATGAGGAAACTGAGGCATGCAGAAGTGAAGTGGTCACAGAGCTAGTAAGGGTTAGAGGTAGGATTTGAAGCCAGGTTTTCTTGGAGAACCTCAGTGGTGTAGTGACCAGAGTGCTGGATATAAAGTTAGAAAGAACTGACCCTGACCTTTAGTATCAGTGTGTGACCATAGGCAAGTCATTCAGACTATCTGAACCTTAGTTTCCTCATCTGCAAAATAGGTATAATGCTTGTAGTTCCTACTTCACAAGGTTGCTTTGAGACTCAGATGAGACCTTTATATAAGGTTCAGCTGTTATTTTTCCTGACTCCAAGTCCTGTAGTCATCTATCCTTTGTGTCATACCACTTGTCAATCTCAATTCAACAGGAAGATTCTTAGTGCTACTTTGTGAAATGGCACATCCTCAGTCTTTGGTCTGGTTAGCGACTGGCTCAAATCAATCAACAAGTATTTATTAAGTACCTACTATGTGCCAGGCACTGGGCAAAACTGGAGATAAAAATGATGAAACAAAGACCTTACACTCTAAATGGGGAGACAACAAATACATTTGTAAATATACAGAATTTATAAATACAAAGTGAGTAAGTACAAATACAGAGTGTTTCAAAAGTCTAGCACAGTTTTAAACTGTAATAGCTAAAGATTGAAGCTATCAAAACTTAAAACTGTGCTAAGACTTTTGGAACACCTTGTTTTGTATATAATAAGTAGTTACATACAAGGTAGTTTGAGAGAGAGGACCCAGCAGTTGGAGAGGATCAGGAAAAAGCTTCATGCAGAAATTGGTATTTGATCTATACCTTAAAGGAAGAGAAAGACTCTGAAGAAGAGGTAAGAAGGAAGTACATTCCAGTTATGAAGGACAGACAGTGCAAAGTCAGAAGACAGAGTGCTTCATGGTGTGTGTGTGTGTGAGAGAGAGAGAGAGAGAAACAGAGAAGACCAGTTTTGCTGGAGAGAAGACAGAAGGGTCAGTAAAATGTCCAGTGCCTCTAGAAAGATAGATTGGGGTCAGTCTGTGAAGGGCTTAACAACTGAATGGAAATGTTTATGTTTTATCCTAGAGGCTGCAGGGAGCCAGTGGAGTTGATTGAGAAGAGAAGTTACATGGTTAGTTCTACAGCTTGAAGAAAATTATTTTGGCAGCAGTGGCTAAGGTAGACTGGAGTGGTGGGAGACTGGAGGCAGGGAATCCTCTTAGGATGCTATAGAAGTCATCTAGGTGAGAGGTGGAACACGCCTGATCTAAGGTGGAAGCTGTGTGAGTGGAGAGAAGGATACAGATGCAAGCTATGTTTCAGAGGCAGAAACAAGAAGATTTGGCAACTGAAAGGATATGTGGGGTGAGAGAGAGTGAGAAGGATGAAGACAGTTTGAACCAGGGAGACGTGAAGGATGATGATGCGTTTGACAGAAGGAGAGAGGTTCAGAAAAAGGTTTGAAGGGAGGTAATGAGTTCAGTTATGGACATGTTGAATTTGGGCTATCTCTAGGACATCCAGTCTACATTGCCAGTAGACAGTGGTGATGTAGGACTGAAGCCCAGGGCAGATACAAGGGCTTTCTCTATGTGGTGTGCATTCTCTCTGAAGAACTTTGAAATCAATTGAGAGACTTGGGAGACACTGGACCACCTAGCATAAAAGTGCTGTGCTCTGTGAACAAAGCAAAATTACAGTAACTCAAAGGACATGTGAGATACGCAAACTTAGAGACATCTCCCCTCCAAATGTTCATGTGGACTCTTTGTGCCTAACCTGTGGTAGAGCATTCTGAGCTTGTGCAGGTCTGATCAGCCACAGTCGGACACACTGTAACTTGACTCTAACATAGTGATGTCATTTTGGGCCTCTTCGAGAATGAAGGACAACAACTAACCATATATATGTATGCATGTGTATGTATGTCTGTATGTGTCTATGTGTATGTTTATCTACCATGTGCTTATATACATCATCATCTATAGGGAGCTGACAGTTAAACTCATGATTGATGAGGTTACTAAAGAGAGAGCATGGAAGTTGAAGACAAGAAGGCCTAGGGGGGCAGGTAGGTGGTATAGTGGATAGAGCACCGGCCCTGGAGTCAGGATGGACCTGAGTTCAAATGTGACTTCAGACACATAACATTTCCTAGCTGTGTGACTCTGGGCAAGTCACTTAACCACAATTGCTTCACCAAAAAAAAAAATCATTTGAGACATTGTAATTGTTTTATAAACAAAAGAGAAATAAAAATTTATTTAAAAAAAAGACCTAGGGACTTGGGGAACACCCACAGTTTAAGGGGCAACAAAGAAGATTGAAGACAGGTAGGAAGAGAGCCGGGGGAAAGTAGTGTCATAAAAATCCATAGAGAGGGGCAGCTAGGTGGCACAGTGGATAGAGTACTGGCCCTGGACTCAGGAGGACTTGAGCTCCAATGCGGCCTCAGACACAAAACATTCACTAACTGTGTGACCCTGGGCAAGTCACTTTACCCCATTGCCTAGCAAAAAAAGCAAAAAAAAAAAAAAAAAAAACCACAAGCAAAAATCCATAGAGGAAAAAGCATTTAGGAGGAGAGGGTGGTCAACAGTGCCAACTCAGAGGATCCTATGTCAACCCAACATCCAGGCTGCCCACCTCCAGGCACTTTCTCTTGGAGTTTCTCAGAGGACCTTTTGTCAGCCCCAGGCCACTGGCCTTTAACATCTGTGTTCCAGGGACCCACCTTCCACCGCCACCTCTTGCCTCCTGACCGGATTCTCCTGGACTATACCAGACTTACCTTAACAGTCTGATTGTTATGAGACCAGCCTCCCAAGGCCTTGCAGAGCCCAATATCACCACCTGTCATGAGGAAGGACCTTGAACAGTGTGATCACCTGACCCCCTCAGCATCCCTCTCTCCAACAACTACTACTCTGGACTCGTTTGTCAATGGTTGACATACTACCACCCCCTGATATTCTCCTCCTCCTAGTAATTCTGACCCCCAGCCCCAACTACTGAAGTACAAACCCCATTCTCTATCCTCAACTGCCTCCTCCCTCACTCCTGCCCCCCTTTCTGAGCTTAACCCTACCCGCAACGTGTCCCACTCTAGCAATTCTGTCTTCCTCTCTGCTCCCTGGGATACCTGTTCCATAATTATTAAACTTGCTTTCTTTGTTAACGTAAATCTTTTTTTTTTTCCCCACTCCTTCCATCTTCTGACACTAACTGAGCCCTAACTCCCTCCTGATGACATTGCATACCTGGCCACCATTTCTAATACTGGAGCTACTTAATGAGACTGGAAAATCACAGAATCTTGCTTAATGGGTTCGTTACAGATTTCTTTTGCATAATCTCACCTGGACCTTCACTGTAGCAAAGCAATACTCTTATACCTTCCTAATCAATTTACTATTTCATCCCTCTTCAAACCTCCCATAGCTCCCCTTCCTCACACCCTTCCAGCTGAGAACTTTGCTTTATATGTCACTGATAAAATTGAGGCTATTTTCCCAAAACTCCCTTTTTTCTCCTCATCCGCATCTCATGTCACTCAGACATTTTCCCCTATTTCTTCTTTTACTCAGTCTCATAAAAAGCCTTCTCTTCCAAGGCAAACAAGGGATCCCATTCTGTCCAATCTTGTCAGGCACATTGCCTCCTCTGTCTTTCCCACTTTCTCAATCTCTCCCTATTGACTGCTTCCCTGATGCCTACAAACACAGCCATGTTTTCAACCCTCTCTTGATCCTACCATCACTGCTAGCTACTGTCCTCTATCTCTCCTTCCTTTCATGGTTAAACTTGAAAAGGCCATCTACAATTAGTGCCTCCACATCCTTTTTTTACTCTCTTACCTCTCTATACTCTGGCTTCCAACCTCACCATTCAACTGAAACTCCTCTTTCCAAAGAAACCAATGATCTCTTCATTGCCAAATCTAATGGCTTTTTTTCAGTCCTCATCCTTTTTTTTTTACCTCTCTGCAGTCTGTGACACTGTTAATCACCTTCTCCTTCATGTTCTCTTTTTTCTAGGTTTTAGAGACACTGCTCTCTCCTAATTTTCCTTCTGTCAGAATTCCTCCTTTTGCTGCATCTTCATCTAGGTCGTGCCCACTAACCTTGGGTGTCCCCCAAACCTCTGTCCTGGGCCCTCTTCTCTTCTCCCTCTATACTATTTCATTTGGTTATCTAATCAGATCCAAAGAATTCAACTATAATCTCTGTGCTGATGATTCTCAGATCTCCATATCCAGCCCTAACCTCTTTCCTGACTGCCAGTCTCACATCCCCATTACCTGTTAGACATCTCAAATTCGATGTCGCTCAAACATCTTTAACTCAATATGGTTGATAGTGAACTTATTATTTATCTCCCCAAACCCTTTCCTCTTCCATACTTACCTGTTAGTGTTGAAGGCATCACCATCCTCCCAATCTCCAGGCTCACAACCTAGGTATCATCCTAGATTCTTCACTCTATTGACCCTCATATCTAATCTTTTGGCAAATCCTGTCAGTTATAGCTTCACATCTCTTATGTATCT